CACAGCTCACATTTCATTAATGAAAAAGAGCTAAAGGCTATTACTTGTCCTGATTACCATTCACAGAGATAGTAGGACACCTGGATGCATGTCTTCCAGAGAATCTGCAAAAGGCATGACAAAGGCCATTGAAAAATTGATTGGAAAATAATGAGGCAAAAATGCTATGTCATTGGGACCAGTATGTTTTCAGTAGTGTGCATGTGAGGACCTGAGTGATAAAATGGGTACAAAAGGACTTTCAGAAGCACCGGGCCTCTAGTGTATATATATAAAAGCCAAGCGACCGGAATGAACGGAATGACCAGTTGCTATGACATGCACTGCGGCTGGCCAACCTCCTACGGCCTCTCCCCCAAGCCAGCCCAGCCCCCAATCACCCCCCACTGATCGGGGGCAGGGCCAACCGGCTGACCTCCAGCAGCCCCTCCCCCCAGCCAGCTCAGCCCCCAGTTGGCCCACCCCAATCAGGGCAGGCCAGCTGGACCCCACCCGTGCACGAATTTGTGCACCGGGCCTCAAGTGTAAGAATAAATAGCCCGGCGGCATAACTCAGTGGTTGAACATCAACCTATAAACCAGGAGGTAACAGTTTGATTCTCAGTCAGGGAACATGCCCAGGTTGAGGGCTCGATCCCCAGTGTGGGGTGAGCAGGAGGCATCGGATCAATGATTCTCTCTCATCATTGTTATTTCTCTCTCTCTCTCTGTCTCTCTCTCTCTTCCTCTCTGAAGTAAATAAAAAAATATATTTTTTTAAAAAAGAATAAACATTACAAAAAATGTACAAGAAATACAATAATAAAACTATAAAACTGAAATGAAGAACCTACAAGAAAATTTAAATAAATGAAGGACCCGTTATTGAAAAGTCATTCTCTCCAAAGTAATCTAAAAGTGTAATGCAATCACAACAAAAATACTTAATACACACTCCTTTAGGGACTTTGACAATCTGATTTTAAAATGCACAAGAAAGAGAAAATGATCAAGAACAGCTGGAAACCCCGAAAAAGGTACAAGGGTACCTTTTACTTATTTTTCTGGATAAACATTATAAGGGTTTATATGGAACTGCTTGGCACTGTGTTCTGTTTACTCTAGGGAACATTCTTAGAATGACATAGCAAATCTGATGTTATATTTTCATTGGGTTCTTGCTATGAATGTTTTTAGTATCATCTCTATGAAAGCCCATTAGAAGATACTTTCTTCAAAGAACTGTGCCAGGAAAAACTTTATTTACCTGGGGAACTATTTTGCTTTATCCTCACAGACAATGCCAATACTTTAACTGGTTGGTTATCCATTTTCTATGATGGCCAGAAATATTGAGCAAACCCTGTGACCTGAATATTAACTTACCTATTTTCTAAATTCCCTTTTGGACCTAATCTACATTTTCCCTGACTATACATTTCCTTTTTATATGGACTTTTGAGAGATTTAAATGACTGAATAAAGGAATTTCTTACCTGGAAGTTAATCATCTTCTGCAACTCTTGCACAGAGATCTATGAAAGTAAAAATTAGGAAGTAAATAGAAGGACATGGAAAACCAGGACTGCAATGCAGAACCCTGCTCTATCAGAATGGAGGCACCCACTCTGCAGCCTCCGAGAATGCGACCTACTGGGAGAATATTTCTAGCAAGTCAGAAAAGCCCCTATTTTATCAGCACTGATGTCTACTTGTGATTCTGTTATGGATATATGGATTTTATACATTCCTACTGAACTAAGAGCAGTGGGTTCTTTAACCTTTGAACCAGTGGCATGTTCCCCCCCCCCCGCCCGAAATGTATCCTAAGAAAATAATAATAAATGACTTAAAAGACTAACTAAAAACCTGGTCTCTGATGCTCAGTGTCTCTTGAAGTCATTCCTTCTTGTGATTCTCTGGTGTCTACCCTGAAGTTGGTGTAAGAGATCTCAAATTAGGTTGGCTTTATTGAGAAGGCTTAATCCAAAGACCCAGGAACTTTTTTTTTTTTTTTAAAGCAGTTTAGACTCCAAACTGTTTCTGTTTCTCTCTCTCTCCTCACCTCCACCCCCTCTGGAAACTCACCATCTCCTATGAATGCAGTCTGGGCTTTTTGCAATTCTAACCTGTACATCTGGGGCCCCTTTAGAAAGACTAAAATATGCAAGAGGGAGTCACAGCTTTATTTACATAACCTTCACTAGAAGATCTGTAGATTCACCTAGTGCCCCTTAAAAAATTCCAACAAATCGAAATTTACTCAATATTCACTGCTCAAATATTTCAAAAGAAGAATAAATCCAACTCGTTTTTTGCAGGGTGCTATCTTCTAAAAAGGAATGACATTTGGAGAAGGCTCATCTGGATTTAAATCTCAGCTCTTCCACTTACTAAACTGTAGGAGTCTAGCCAAGTCACTTCACCTCTCTCAGCTTTAGTTAATTCATGCCGTAAAATGAAGATAAGTTACTTCAGGTGATGCATGTGTGAGACTACACAGTTTCTCCAGAAACGCTTTCTTCCCAGATCCCCTGAAACGATTTAACACAGTGGTTCTCAACCTGTAGGTCGACCCTTTCACAGGGGTCGCCTAAGACCATCGGAAAACACATATATAATTACATATTGTTTTTGTGATTAATCTCTATGCTTTAATTATGTTCAATTTGTAACAATAAAAATACATGCTGCATATCAGATATTTACATTACGATTCATAACAGTAGCAAAATTACAGTTACGAAGTAGCAACGAAATAATTTTATGGTTGGGGTGTCACCACAACATGAGGAACTGCATTAAAGGGTCAGGGCGTTAGGAAGGTTGAGAACCACTGGTTTAACATTTCCTACTGCAGGCTCTAATCGGGCCAAAGGTGCTCCTGTAACCAAGAAAGTTGGTTTGATGCAGACTTCTTCCTACACAGTGAGCTTTACCAGCGAAGGCCGGAATGCAAACTAAGTTTGCCCCTGCCCCTGCCCCAGCCGGGATCTAGGAACCCACTGAGTGGCGCTCGGAGCCCTGCGCTTGCTCTCTCTGAACTACTCAGAACTGGAAGGCACACAAACACCAAGTGACCGCGTGTGCGGATGGCTGAGTTTATCTTCGGTTGGGGAAGCCAATAACCCAGCGCCTGCCTTTCTCCCCGCCCTCCCTTAGTCGGCACGGTCGTGCCCGTCAGCCTCTCACCGCTCTGCTCCCAGCATCGCCTCGCTCCAAGTCCTACATCAGTTTACAGAGACCTCCCAGAGACTCGGGAGCAACACCCACTGTCACTCACGCCACAAGGATGCGAAGATTACCGAAAGCTGGCTATCTCCCCGCCGTGCATGCGCAGAAGTAAAAGCCACCTAGAGTTCCCAGGCTCCCCCGCGGTGTAGGCCATCCATCCGAGACTACATTTCCCATACGGCACGTGGAGCTAGTTTCCGGAAAACCTCAGCTATTTCCACCTCACTTGGGGTAAATTCCAGGGTTGGTATCTCTAGGGCCGCTTGAGAGCCATGCTCATCTTTAAAAGTGTGGGGATCATTCGGGCTGCGAGTATAACCCGATGTCCTGAACCCCGGGTAGTATCAGGGTGCCTGATCAGGCGGGGACCCTAGGTGGTCGCTTGGTCCTCTAAGTTCTTGTCACCTATTGGTTGCCTCCCTTGGTTAAATGCCCAGGCTTTGGCTGTTTGCCTGGACATGGGTAGAGTCCACATCACAAAATGGGGTCAGTTATGCTAACTCCATGCTCTCCACAAAAAAAGCAGGTGTGCATATCATTTTTATTTAAAATATAGACATCAGAATTTTTAAATACTGGAAAATCTAAATCAGCAAATAATTTACCCTGACTCAAATTTGGTTTCTTCTAGCAACGCAGTAGCTTAGGTCAGGGAAATGAAGAGGACCCAACAAAGAAGACTGAGAATGAATAATCCGTGAGATAGATGGAAAAGTAGGAGAGTTAGGATCTGAAAAATCAAGGGAAGAAAATGTTCCAAGAAGAAGGGAGTGATCCGCTGTGTTCAATGTTACTGATAGGTCAACTAGGATGAGAACTAAGAACTGATCATTGAATTTAACAACATGGAAGTTGTTGAAACAGGCCATTTTGACATAGTGGTGGAAGTTTGATATGAGTGGGATAAAAGGATGAGAGGAATTGGAGAAAGCAAGTATAGACAATACTTTTAAAAGTTGTTTTTTAAAGATGAACAGAAAAGTAAAGCTGTATTTGCATGTGGCTAATGGGTCCAGAATTTTTAAAAATTGCTTTGAGAGAGACATAAAGAATGTGGACTTGTTCCACTTACTTATGAATTCATTGGTTGATTCCTGTATGTGCCCTGGCCGAGGATCCAACTGCAGCCTTGACGTCGAGAGGCCCTCTAACCAACTGCGTTACCAGGCCAGGGCCAGATTTTTTTTTTTTAAGATAGAAGAAATTACAGTATGTTTGTTTTCTAATATAAAATGACACAGTAGAAAGGGGAAAACTGGCAACACAGTAGAGAAAGGACAGTTGCAGGAGGAAAGTCTTTGAGGAGGGAAGGGATGGATTCCAGTATACAATCATAAGGATCGATTATAAGAGTGTGTACAATTCATCCATTGAAATAAAAGGGGAGGCAGAGTTCATGGATACAGATGCAGATGGGCAGACAGATTTGGTGGTGAGAGAAATAGGATTTCCTCTTATGAGTGCTTCTATTTTCTCAGTGAAATAGAAAGCTGGAAGTGAAGATAGGAAGGTATTGGAGGTTGGGGAGCTGTGATTAACCTGGAGAGGGAAGGCATGAAAGCTCTGTATCCTTTCTCCTACACCTTGCCCTTATGCATCTCTTCTATTTGGCTGTTCCTATATTATATTTCTTTGTAATAAACTGATAATCTAATAAGTACAATGTTTCTCTGAGTTCTGTGAGCCACTCTATCAAATTAGTTGAACATGAGGAGGGAATCACTGGAACCTCCAATCTATAACCTATAGGTCAGAAGCACAGGTGACAACCTAGACTTGCAATTAATATCTGAAATGGAGGGGGAGGGGGAAATTGTAGGACTGAGCACTTTACCTGTATAATCTGACACTGTTACCAGGTAGGTAGTGTCATAATTGAACTGAATTGTAGGATATTCACTTGGTGTCAGAGAATTGGTTGGTGGTGGAGGAAAAAAAATCACAAACTCATTGGAAATGGTATGAGTGTAATTTTAGTTTTGTCCATGACATTGTCTCCAAAGCCTGGCACTTAATGGGTGCTAAATAATTATTTGTGAATACTGAATAAATGGGAAACAGTCTGTAGTTTTATCCTCATAAGTGCATTATGGAACTTGTCTGGCTCAGCAGCTTCATTCTATAGATCAATTTGGAGAGAACCATGAGCCTGGTATGTCTCATTTATTTAAGTCTGCTTTAATTTCTCTCAGCAATGTTTCCTAGTTTTTGATGTAAAATACTTGCATATTTTTTGGTCAACAATATCCTTAAGTATTCCATCTTTTTTATATTATAAACTGTATTTTAAATTTCCATTTGATCTTTTTTATTGCAACTGTACAATTTATTTTTGAATGTTGATCTGACACATGCTATAACATGGATAAACTTGAAGACATTATGCTGAGTGAAATACTAGTAAGACAGTCACAAAAGGGCAAATATTGTATTCCTTTGTGATAAACCAATAATCTAGTAAGTCAATGTTTCTCTCAAGTCCAGTGTAGACTTCCTTTTGTGAACCTATAGCATCTTGTACCACCCTACCACTCTATGCTAGCTCTTACCACATGGCTCTGTCATTGCCTGATTACTTGTCTGTATTCTCTGCTAAACTATATAGAGCAGGAGGGCTGGAACTGAATCTGTTGGCTGGGCCCTCTCAAACCTGCTCTCTCCTTGGTGCCACAGGATGCCCAGAATCATTAGGTTAAGCCTCCGAGAACTTCATGTTCTTAAGGCCCTGCCTCCTGCGGGCCTCCAATGGACTTGTGAGTATCAAATTCTGAAACTTGACCCTTTCAATCTGATGCTTTTGCCCCAGATTATGCAAGACAGTGAAAGAGGGGTCCAGACTCCATCTAGCAGATGACATCAGATTTTTAAAATTATGAGCCTTAAACTAAATGTTCTAACACATTTTGGTGCCGGGATGGGGTTTTGGGGACCAATTAAGGACTAGTCATGTTCATCTGTCCTCTTTCCCCCTAGGGCAGTGATGGCGAACCTATGACACACGTGTCAGAGGTGACACACGAACTCATTTTTTTGGTTGATTTTTCTTTGTTAAATGGCATTTAAATATATAAAATAAATATCAAAAATATAACTCTTTGTTTTACTATGGTTGCAAATATCAAAAAATTTCTATATGTGACACGGCACCAGAGTTAAGTTAGGGTTTTTCAAAATGCTGACATCCCGAGCTCAAAAGGTTCACCATCACTGCCCTAGGGTTTAGGATCCTTAGCAAGGCAAAAATTGCAAGCTCTGTTCCTGAAAATCTCAGTGGGGCAGAGATGTCAAGTTGTCACTCAATATCCATTCTCCCTTTTTTATAGTTCATAGAATTTTCAGTTTTTATCTGGATATATGCTTTCCCAGAACAAAATTTACATATGCAGCTAGCTATGACCAGGTAACCAAGTTTTGGGCAGTGGGATGGAAGTGGAAGCAGTGGTACAAATTTAGGAAGTGTCCTTAAAATGATGCCCTTTTCCTATTTCAGCTCTATACTGAATGTGTAATGGATGACTGGAGCTTGGGCAGCCATTTTGGACTATGAAGTAGAAAGACACCTGCTGATGTTAGAGAAGTAAGAGAGAAGGAATTTGGGCTCCGAACACCATGAGTTGCCACATCAGAACTAGACTGTCTTTTTCATGAGAGAAAAAAAATTCTATTTTGTTTAACCACTATTGTTTTGGAAATTTCTATTATGAACGGTTGAACCTAATCCTACTTAAGGTACTCAATCCATTCTCTGGCCCAGGAAGCATGTTTTTAAAAAATCAAGAAATAAGCTTTGTTGTCACATCTCTTTATTTAGCTATTCATTGAACAAGCATCCTAGAGGTCCATAATTTGGAGTTCAGATACCTTAGGCAGAATTCAAAAGGGAGAGATAAAATTATTTAGACATGTCAAGACTGAAAACCAGGGAAGTATTTGTAGAAAACATCATTAGTGATCCTGAGGTGATTCCAATTACAAATGCTTCAACTATTTTGTAAGAAACCACAAAGTGCCCAGCCCATGGCTCAGTGGTTGAACGCAACCTATGAACCAGAAGATCAAGGTCAGCATACATACAACCATTTATAGTGGTTACCTATGAAGGATTGAGATTATGAAAAAAACAACAACCCATCAGTTAACCAATCTGGGCAGTGTTTCATTTTGTTTTATTATATAAAATGCAGAAAGCCTTGATTGAGAAAAAATAGGGAAGAGACTTAACAAAAACTGAAGAATCTTCTTAGGAAAGCAATGATTGCTGAAGGATACTGCTGTTCCGGCCATGATAAGCATCTGTCTTCTTGGCAATCCACGGTGAAGCTCCAGGTACAGTATAATCCCAGATCTCCCACTCACCCAAGCATTGGTCCTAGATTTGAGTGGTTAAGGTTGAGAAAATATGAAAGCCAAAGACTGGCCCCGTTTTACTTTGTGAGTACATGAGGAGCAGGAAGGGTGAAAGTTCCTTAAGGCACACCTTCTGTTCATCTGGCTCTTTTGGCTTGGGGCTCTAGCGAGGAGCTGTGCACCCCACCGCCCTTCCTCCACTCACAGATATCTGCATAGTTGCATGTCCGGCATTTCCAAGCCTCCTCCACATCAACCCCTTGAGGCTCTCGGTGGCCTACCCAGTAAGCCATATAGTGCTGCACTTTGCTTCTCAGCTCCTTCTCTTCAAAGGCCACAATCTCTGAACCCAGCACAGTGGCAGTCTCTTGGTGGATATACTCAATCTTCAGAATATCAATGACTGGAAGGTCACACAGTGTTAGAGACAAGATGACCAGCTCCATGAGGTCACCCAAGGATGTCACAGAGAAGCCTCCCTGTTGGGCATGCCTCAGCACTGCAGGTCCCAGTGGCTTTTCTGGATGCAATTTTGTGTGGTGGATTAGGCTAGCAGTGGTCACCTTCCCTTGTACCATGGCATCAAAGATATACTTGTATAGGCTGACTTGAAAACAGTCTTTTTTTTTCTGAGCCTCCAGAGGGAGCACAGGGCGTCTCCGCGTCTTGAGTTCAACCAGTTCCAGTTCCCCCTTGGGCGTATAGTGCAGCTCATCAATCACTCCAACAAGAAGCACACCCTCCACTTCTCCAAACACTGGGAACTCTCTGATGCGCCCTTCTGACTGCAGGGTAGGAATCATTGATAACATATTCAGAAACTTAACTGCCCACGCATCTTCTTTGCTGGTGATGGAGACAGTCACAAGATCATGAAGTTCTAGTTCTCTAGCTAGGTGGATACTGGCACCAGTGTCCAAAATAGCTGCCTTCTCAGGTGCCAAGAAACCAGGAAGTTCCTTCCCATATACCATTTGCTGTTCACACCAGTTCTGAGTTGACAGGTCAGTCACATACAAATATTTAAGGTGGAATCGCTCCATGGGTGATAAGACATCCAATCCTTTTTTCCACTTTGGTAAGCTTATGAGCTTGCCATCCATCCCCAGGGGTTCAGAAGAAGGGCCAGGCTTGCTAAGTGGATCACTCAACTCTTGGGTATCCTCCAGATCCAGAAACTCCGAGTCACTCAAATCCGAGAACCCTGAGGCCTCTGCTGACACCTTCTCCTCTTCCTCAGTCTCTGCCATGGCACAGCTCTGGATTGGTCTAGGCCCTGCACAGCATGTTAAAGAAATGTATTATCCAAATAAAGAAACAGAATTATGACTATTCATTTACATTCCTTAAAGAAGCCTATTTGTTTACAACCAATTAGTAATGCTACAGAGTTGTAGTACAGGTACAATTTACAATACGGCTCCTTGTATCATCCATACATGAACACTTAAAAAATTTTTTAGGTGCAAAATGGTTTTATTCTTAAATCTAGCACTAATACATTATGTGTGACTTTAAGCAAATTACTTTCCTTGGCCTCAATTTCTTCATTTAAAAGATTTGAGTTTGAGTGGGTGGGGAGGGGTCAATGGGGGAAAAAGGAGACATGTAATGCTCTCAAAAATAAAGAATTTAAATTAAATTTTTTTAAAAAAAGAGTTGAGTCTGTCTTTTCTACTTCAAAATTCTACTGACTTGAGCCCTAGCTGGTGTGGGTAAGTTGGTTGGATGTCTTCCCCTGCACCAGGAGGTTGCCGGTTCATTCCAGTCAGGGCACATGCCCTGATTTCAGGCTTGATCCCCAGCAGGGGGCATGTGGGAGGCAGCCAATCAATGCTAGTTCTCACACTGATATTTCTCTCTCCCTCTCCCTCTTCCTTCATCTCTCTCTAAAAATCAACACACTATTCTTTTTTTAAAATCTATTTTTATTAATTTCAGAGAGGAAGGGAGAGAGAGAGAGAAAGAAACATCAGTGATGAGAGAGAATCATTGATTAGCTGCCTTCTGCACACCCCCTACTGGGGATTGAGCCCATGATCCAGGCATGTGCCCCAACCTCCTGGTTCATAGGTCAACCCTCAACCACTGAACCACACTGGCTATAAACTATTCTCAAAAAAAAATTCTACTGACTTGGGACATTATTTCATTATTTTAAGTGTATACAGATCTTTGTAAATGTTGGAATGATGTTTGAAAGTTTACCAGGGATCACTTCTATAATTCCATTGATACAAAATCTTTGACTATGAAAATAAACCTCAATTACAAACTGTTTCTTGAGAAAAATCAGCTCTACAATGACTGTTTTTAAATGTAATTTGTAGGGTTAAAATTTAAAGACTAACTATTGATACAAATAGACCTACTCATACACAAAGTAATAGCATAAAGTAATGAGAGAGGATATTCACAGAGACATGTGGAAACCAGTTGCTTTTTTTATACTTGAGATGTTAAGGAAATGGCAGACAGAAGCTCTTTTGGGGTTTAATTTTACCCTTACTGACTGTGATTTATACTATAACATTTTTATTTTCTCCCTCCACAAGACATTAACTTATGATGGAAAATATCTGTCAATAAGCACTATTAATATTAATAATATAATCCTATATAATAAAAGGGTAATATGCAAATAGACCAAACAGCAGAACAACCAACCAAAGTGTAATATGCTAATGATATGCTAAAGCTGCTCAACTGCTTGCTATGATGTGCACTGACCACTAGGGGGCAGATGCCCTGACCAGTAAGTTAGCTTGCTGCTAGGGTTCAGCTGATTTGGACTGAGATGTGCCAATATGCCCTGGAGTCCTCCCCTGGTTCCTCCCTGGCCCAATCCTGCACCGCTGGGGTCCCTCAGCCTGGCCTGTACCCTCTCGCAATCCAGGACCCCTCAGGGGATGTCAAAGAGCTGGTTTCAGCCGGATCCTATAGGCCACTCCTCTTGGGAGGGCGCCAGATTCAGGGCTCATGGCCGGTGAGCGCTGCTATGGCAGCACGAGCCTCTCCCAATCGGGACTGATGGGGTGTGAGCCTGCAGCAGGCACAGTGGGGTTGGGATGAGTGGGAGCGGCAAGTAGGAGCTGCAGGTGGCGTTGGAGTTGGGGTTTTGGCCCGATCCCTGCAGGCCACCCAGAGGGACCCTACCCATGCACGAATTCGTGCACTGGGCATCTAGTCAATTATATAAATAGTGATATTTATTATGTAGTTATTGTGTGCTAGACACTGGGACAAGTATTTCACATGCAATATCTGAATATTCTACTGTAGGACAGGCACTTTAAAAAAAATTTTACTATGAAAAATTTCACATACAGAGAAACAGAACAGAACAATGAACGGCCATATACAAGCCAATTAGATAAACAACTATTGACATGTTGTTACATTTGTTTCTTTCGTGTGCACTTTTTTTTGGCTGAACTATTTTAAAGTACATTATAGACATCATAACACTTCAAATATAAATATGTATATTCTTCCACATTAACCACACTATTATCACATCTTACATAATTGGTAATACCCTAATATTCTGGTCCTCATTCAAATTTCTCCAACTGCCCTAAAATGTCTTGGATAGCTTTTCCTTAAACCAGGAAACAAAGACCACACATCTCATTTGATTGTTCTGTCTCTCAAGTATTTTTAATCTTAAAAAACTAGGCAAATTATTTTGTGAAGATACTCTGTTTAAGCCTTCCTCATAACCTCACATATCTAACCTTGCATAGAGAGAAAACAAAACAAGGCATGACCAGTCCACTAGTATTTGACTCAGGGTGCCAGAAAAAAATAAGTAACTTGACACAGAATTTAAGTCAATTGAGATAACTATGGGCCATTTCCTCCTTGCTATTCTAATAAGCAATGAATAAGCTGAATGCACCAACTCCCAGGTTTAAAGCTTAAGAACTGATGCCTTGAAAATGGTATACTTAAATAGAATTAAAACACAGAAGCTGCATATTTGCACGTGTCTGAAACTGCAAATGTGCCTTAAATGATGACAATTTCAAAATGAGTAATGTTATTTGGAGCATGAAGGCCCTGAAGGTTGGAGAGTATCTTTTCCCTCCACCAAGAAACTAAAGTTAAATGACAATGAACAGGTATACTTTGGGCTTTTCCCCAACCACCAGGGACAGGGCACAAAATCCAAATAAACTGACCTTGAAAATATTTTATTTCAAATATCTAGACCTGGGTTGTTCAATATGTACCCACCAGCCACAAGTGACTAAAATTAAATAACATTTAAAACTCATTTTCTGAGTTGCATTAGGCACATTTTAAGTGCTCGGTAGCTACATCTGGCTAGTGGGTACCACATTATAAGGCACAGATTTAGAACATTTCCCCTGATGACAGAACACTATTGGACAGTACTATTGAAGGTTTGGACTTTCTACTTGTTTTTCATACAACATTGAGAACAGAGTATCTCTGAACAGGTGAGTGAAATGTTTTGTGGAAAAGACACAAAGAGGGGAGAGAGGTGCATTGTGTGCGGAATTATTCACCTAAAAGAAGAAAACAATGTACAGGGGATGGATAATTTAGACTCAGATGGGTTGCTTAGACTTTCCCATGCAGAAAATATCTCAGCAAGAGCATGATGCAGTGCACGGGGTCCCAAAATGCAATTTGTATCTTTTTGACATGAGATGATTTTACGTGGTATGTTGATCAATATTTTTATATGTATCTTAGAATACATGTAAAGCTATTAGAGCATCCATCAAATGTATGTCATAGGTAGTATTTCTTAGGACAAGTTTGATTTTGAAATAAGTGTAAAAAATTAAAATACGAGAATAACAATACAGAGAGTACACAGGTATAGCAAAATCATTAGGTGGCAAGTGCATGAGATGTTTGGGAAATACCAGCACTGTATCAAGAGTCTGGGGAGCCTACAGATCTGGATTCCGGATCTGATCCTGACTAGGTCAGTCGTATTTAGTAGTATGCTACTTGCTTTAGGAAGTACTCACTCTTGGGCAAGTTTTCCCGTGGCTACTGATACATCTTTAAAATTAGAGTATTCCTTCCAGCTGTCCTCAGCTACCCACACGATTGAGTGACAAAACTGTATATATAGTAGCACTGAACAAATACTGATCTTTTTCCCCTTCCCAAGAATGAGACAGTGTGTCAATTCCCTCTGACAGACGAGATTAAACCTCAGGAGAGAGGAAAACTACTCACCGGGGACTTGGTTGCTCTTCCTCCGCACGGGGAAAGGCAGATGCTGAAACGACAAAACTGGGGGAGGAGAGAGGAGCCCTGAAACACCAGGTCTGCATCCGTGAATCCAGATGAGCAACTCCGGGCTTTGCCGTGGCAGAATGGGGGCGTTTTGTCCTTTCTCGCCTGACCGTTCCCTCACTTTGCGGCGTTTCCCCTCTCGGCTCCACACTGCACAAACCATAGCCCACCCCAGGTCCTAGCAACGCTTGCCTCTCTCCAGGGGCAAATCCTCCGCGACTTCGTTTTCCCCATACCTTGGATGCAGCTACTGGACCCAACCACTGCGCCCTGCAAGTAAAAGGACTTTTCTAAAAAGGTCCCCAGTAGCTCCGCGGTCAGCTTCCTCTTCCAGCCTCAAGCTCCTCCCGGAACTCGGGCAGAGACCTCAGGTCACCCAGAGCGTTCTCTGGGTCCGTGCTGCTGCGGAACGGCTGCTACCTGCACCCCAGCGTCCTGCTTGTCTGCAGCAGCCTGGACTCACGGGCTCCGAGAACGCTGGCCTTCAGGAGGCACCTTTCCACCGGCCCCAAACCACGGTCTCCCCGAGTCCCATACACGCCCTAAAGATTTCTGAGCGCTTTCTAGTGTCCTGGAGCAGCCAGGCATGACAGACCCCCGGAAAGGGTCCCAGAGGACCGCAGGAGCTTCCGGGAGTGAGAGGTCCAGAACCCACAGAAGCCTGGCCGCGCGGGGAGCCGAGACACACCGCTTCCAGGGAGCAGTGCCCCCCGGGGAGGAGGGTGAGGGGCATGGCAACGGCGGGGACAGACCCCTGAGCTCGAAACGCAGCCCTCCGTCCGCCACCCCACTCGCCGGCCTCCCCCTGACCTCGGGTCCTCCTGCGAATCCCGGACGCCACTCGGCTCCGCGGCGGCCTCGGAACTGCTCCCGACTCCACGCTCCACGAGCAGGAGCAGGTCAGGCAGCGGCGCTCCCCTTCCGGGCTTCAGGAAAAGCCGCCGGGAG